AGTAAAGGCCTACCAGGAGTGTTTGCACAGTCAGTGTTTCAGCACCCTCAGCATTCCCTGAACCTGGTTTTACCTCATCAAAATCCTTCCTCTCTGTTGATCCAGCCCCTCTTTCCTTCCCCAGTTTTCCTTCCCTTTTGTCCCAATTCCTCCTAACCTCCTCAGAACTTTCATCAGGATGGGCTCAGCTTTGTGATAACAGGGTGCAACCTCATGGAATCAAGAAGCCACTGTCAAACTGCAGAACCTCATGGAATAATGGGGTCATTGTGACATTGGGGAAACCCTTGGAATCAAGAGGCCACTGGGACACTCCAGGGCCCCATGGAGCCAAAGGAACCCAGGGACAGTGGGCAACCTCCTGAAATAAAGGGGCCATTGTGACACTGCAGAAGCCCATGGAATCAGGAGGCCATTGTGGCACTGCAGGGCCTCTTGGAAACAGAGAAACCCTGGGTCACAGTGGAATTTCATGGAATCAAGAGGCCACTGTGACACTGAGGAACCTCAAGGACTCATGAGGCCGATGTGACAATGCAGGGCTTCCTGGAATCCTGAGAAATTTCAGAGCCTCCTGTTCTGATCTCCTTTTCCCCAACCCCCCTGCACACGGGCACTGCCCCAACATTTTATAAGGTATTTTATAAGAACTGTCTCAAAAACACCAGGTTTCCACTGTGTCCTTTCATTTGTTTTAATTTGAAGAGAGGATTCCTCATTTACACAGGGGCAGGGTCAAATTCAGGAAGAAGACAGTGAATTAGAAGCTGGATCGAGAACAAAATTTTATTGTGCTCTACATCATAAAAAGTCAAAATACCAAAGAAAACGTTCTTAGCCCCTCCAAAATCCTGAGAAGAGGGGGTTGGCCTGTAGCAAGTAATGTTAGGAATGATTTACAGAAGAAAACAGGCAGCTTTCTGCTTCTGAAAAGCATCCAATCATCATTTTCCTTATGGCATCCTTGAGCTCCTGGTTCCTGAGGCTGTAGATGAGGGGGTTCAGTGCTGGAGGCACCACCGAGTACAGAACTGCCACCACAAGGTCCAGGGATGGGGATGAGATGGAGGGGGGCTTCAGGTGGGAAAACATGCCAGTGCTAAGAAATAGGGAGAGCACAGCCAGGTGAGGGAGGCACGTGGAAAAGGCTTTGTGCCGTCCCTGCTCACAGGGGATCCTCAGCACAGCCCTGAAGATCTGCACATAGGAGAAAACAATGAAAACAAAACATCCCCAAAAAGGAAAAGCACTAAAAGCAAGAAGCCCAATTTCCCTCAGGTATGTGCTTGAGCAGGAGAGCTTGAGAATCTGAGGCACTTCACAAAAGAACTGGCCCAGGGCATTGCCCTGGCACAGGGGAAGGGAAAATGTATTGGCTGTGTGCAGCAGAGAATAGAGAAAGCCAGTGGCCCAGGCAGCTGCTGCCATGTGGGCACAAGCTCTGCTGCCCAGGAGGGTCCCGTAGTGCAGGGGTTTGCAGATGGCAACGTAGCGGTCGTAGCACATGAC